GCATGTAAATAAATTCTCCTTTCTATTTTTTTTTTAAAATTTAGCTTTGCAGCTTGTCCTGCACCCAGCCAGTACCTCTTCCTCTGTCCTCAGTGGCTCACCTTCAGTGGAATGCAGGCATGGTCCTCCTCCAGGTCCTTCAGGCAGATCTCCAGGTGTAGCTCTCCTGCCCCGGCGATGATATGCTCCCCGGACTCTTCAATGATGCACTGTACCATGGGGTCTGACTTGGCCAGGCGCTTCAGGCCCTCCACCAGCTTGGGCAGGTCAGCAGGATTCTTGGCCTCCACAGCAACTCTGACCACAGGGCTCACACTGAACTTCATCACCCTCATGTTGTGGGCCTGCACACAGAGTTGCTCAGCTAAAAGACCTTTCGTGTTGTTGTAACAAGAAACCAACAGCGAACAATCACTCAGCGTTAATGGCTAATGACTGACTTAGTGGTATGGCAGTATTTAAACTACAGCACGCTCTACGTCCATAGACGAGAAAAGAAAAGTAATACGTTACGTGTTCAAAGGTGGTGATGGTTCCTGTCTTAACCAGGAACTGGTCGACTCCAACGAGACCCACTATGTTACCACATGGAACGTCTTCGATGGGCTCCACATACCGGCCCATCATCAGAATAGTCCTGGACGGAGATGGTGATAAAGAAGTTGGCAACAAATACATGAAAACAAGACAAGGGGGAGAAGAGAACTCCTTTTCTTTGATCTCCTACCATCTAGAACCTCTGTACAGTTTGTACATGAACATGCTCACCTCTGGATGGGTTTGATGTAGAGATCTTCCTTCTTGCCAGGGCTGAAGTTTGGCCCCATGATGCGCACCTTCAGGCCTGTGGACACGCAGCCAGAAAACACGCGGCCGAAGGCGTAGAAACGACCCTTGTCGCTGGTTGGGACCATCTTGGAAATATACATCATCAGAGGAGCCTTGGAGTCACAGTTCTTAATACCTGAGAAGAGAGTTTAGACAGTAAGCTCGGGGTCTAGGACAGCCAAAATAAACCCCAAGGACTTTTAAAAAGCCAATTAAAATACTCCTCATTGAATGATATGTGCTTCTCAAGTCTTCTACTGACCCATTGCAGCCTCATCATCTCCCGGCCCTTCATACAGCAGCTCACAGCGGTATTTCTGTGCAGTGACAGGGGAGGGAAGGTGAATGGTGATCATTTGGAGCAGGGCCTCTCCGGCAGGTAGCCAGCGACGCATCACAGCCTTTAGCAGGGGCTTTCCCTCCTTCTCTTTGTCTTCTGAGTCCAGTTTGATGTCCAGCTTTTCAATTAGTTTGGCTGTCTCTTCCTTTTTGAAACCCATGATGGCATCAAACACCTGGGAGGGAAGTTAGAAAAGGGCAAATATAAGGCATCAAGCCAAGTCATTTTTTAAAAATCCTATTTAAGAGGTCCTGTTAATATGATATATGACACAGGTTTTTAGTTTGCAGAGATATTAAATAGTACTAGTCAATATTGCTGCAGTCAGTATATGTGCTGCTTTTAGTCTAATCATCTTAACAGTTCCAGGTTTTATCCAGTTGATGTCCTCCAAGGCATCTTTTTTGGATATATAAAAGGCATAAAGGTCTGAAATATCACGGCTTAGAGTCACTATTTCCCAATATGGACACATATGGAAAATCCACACTATTCTGTTCATCATATGAACTTTATGCTGTAGATTTATTGTACAGTATTTTTAGTTACCTTAAATATGGGATCCAAAACAAGCTGGCAAAAGGTTCGAGGTAATTTCTGACCGTCAGCATTAGTGGCTGTCTTACTGAATTTGCCAGCTTTTGGATCAAAGTATCTGAAAGAAACATAGAAATGATTGCAGAACATTGTGTTATTCAAGCATCAAAATGTTGACATGTTTCTTATTGAATTAAATCAGTATGTTACTACTTTCTATTAAGATCACTTACACCACATGTACATGTGCAACACATTTAAAAGAGCAGTGTCACAGCGGCTGAAAAGCTTGTTCTTCTGACATCTAGTGGTGTAACTCCTCACTGCACCGATGCAGATACATACTTTAGGGGCTTTGTGCACAGCTGTTGGGTGTGGTTACAGGTGCAAAAAAGTACGGCCCAATCCCAATTTACACCTCAAAGCATTGATTACACTCCCTTGCAGACACTCACAAGATCAGCTGTGGACTGTATGCATGCACAGTTGTTTGTTTGCTGGAGTCTTTTTGGAGAGGGGCAGGTCGTATCTACAGTATGCATTCAGTGCAAGCACACTGCTACCCTTGAAACATAGCCACTGCACAGACGGTGGAGTGGTCTCTACAGATTCTTGATAGAATTCTTGAAATGATATAAATAAAAATGGGAAAGCAACTTTGCGACATACCTATCACATTACCTTGACAAGCTGTTTTGTACTATTGTTGGTTTGGGACTTTTTATGTTATATTGTCGAGTATCTTTACCGGCCGAGGCACCTAATGGAACACATATGGAATTAATGGAATTCACAATCCTACTATCAACTACACAGTTGTGGCTATAGATCACCATCGAGTTTATACTATCATGTTGTTCCTTCCATGCTTGTTTGTTTACCTTTTTTTTTTGCCTCTGGGCTTTCCCTGTTAACTCCATGTTTAATGGTATGAACAGGCAAAGTCTGATAAAAAAAAAAAAAAAAGCCATACTTCATAAAGGCCTCAAAGTCTGTCAGCCTGTGAGTGTGAACATTGGGATTGGACATATTCTTCCCACCGTGCCCCGCATCACTGATGCATCACATTAGTAACTGTAACCAGTTGCAGCTTTTCAGCCTGGTGTTAACATACTCTTTTATATCAAATACATGGATAACTTAATGTATATGCACCTGTCTCCCCATAGTTTCTTCATCATGTCCTCCACCTTCTTACACCTCTCTGCTGGTGCCATCTGAGTTTCTCCTTTAGCAGCGAACTTGGCCACATACATCTCAGCAAACTGCTTCAAGGTGAAAGCCCAGCCGTGGAGGCCAGAGCCAAACCCAACTGTACCAACAACAGGATCAATCTGCAGTGTGAAATTGCAGCATTTATAGATAAAAACAAACAATATTAAACCTACTGTGACTTTTAGGAGTGATATTCGTGCACAAGTGTGTGTTTGTGGGGATTGTGCGTGTGACTTGCCATGATATTCCCCATGGGTCCCCCCTCATCTTCTCCATAGGTGGAGATAATGACGTTGACGTTCTCCACGATACGCTGGAAGGTTTGGTAAAGCTCATCTGTCTCAAGCTGCAGCTCAAGCAGAGCCCGGTCCATCTTGTTCATCATCAGAACCGGCTTGATGCGCTCAGCGATGGCCTGCCGCAGCACAGTCTCGGTCTGCACACACACACCTGTGAGGGAACAAACAGGTGAGCCGCAGGTGAAAAGCCAGAGAAGGCAACAGTGACATAAGGTAATCGAGTACATTTATTTCTACAACTTCACAGAGGGAAATATTGCACTTTTTACTTCACTACATTCATTTGACAGCTTAAGTTTCTTTACAAATTAAAAATTTTGCCATAAAGCATGACAAAATGATAAAACATGATCAGACCATCCAAAGGTTTATATGAGTACAGCCAAAATGATTACTCAACTAATCAAATTATCAATTATCAGAAAATCCTGCAACTATTTTGCTAATTGTTTAGAGCATTGGCGTGCTATCTCTCACTAATTTCAATAATACAGACAATCATTATTTGCAATCCGATACATATAATTCAAAATTAGCTCCGCCTCAAACAACAGTAAGATTCTGCTTTTACATTAACGCACAGGTGATAATAATCTTGTGATATAATATTTAACATTTTTTGCACTAAGTACTGTTACTGTTACTACTTCAAGTACATTTTCTTTCTACTTACATACTTTAACATGATTAAGATTTTCAAGCAGGACTTTCATTTGTAGCAGAGTATTTTTACAGTGTGGTATTAGCACTTTTACTTAAAGTACTAGATGTGAAAACTACCAGTGTTGAACATGACGGAGTTACCTGAGACACAGTCCACCACCACCAGGGCTCCATCAGTTACTCTGAGGGCAGCAGTGACCTCAGAGGAGAAATCAACGTGACCCGGAGAATCAATCAAGTTGATGAGGAAGCCGTTTCCGTCTTTACACTGCTTGATGAACGCCAAGTCGTTGTCTTCAAGCTCATAATACATGGAGATGGCCCTGTTTAAAGAAAGAGACAAGTGTTTACTGTGTTAACCACTTCATTTTTAAAACAACTGCAAAGGATGAACTAAAGAACCTAAACTTAATGATTCATGTGAGCATGTTTAAGCGAACTCATCCAAACACTGGACTCTGATGAGTCACACCGTTCTCTAATTGAGATGAGACAGACCTGCTGAGTGGAGACTTTCCAGGTCAGTTGCTACAAAGGGACCTGACTAAACATACTGTGTACATTTTTGAAAATGCAAGCAGTGTTTTCTTTAGACATCTTTAAATAATATTTAAAGAAAAGCACAATTCTGGCACTAAAATAAGGAGCTTAAACACATATTCTTCTTTTGTAAACTTGTTAGTTTTTTTTTGGTTTTTGGTTTTTTTTTTCAAATTAAATGGTCAATCTGCAAACAAAAGTATAGCCTGACTATGAATTAGCCTAATATGCATTCTGGCATCTTTAAAGTAAGAAGACAGCAAAAACAGCATAGACAGCAGCTTTAGTTACTGGTGTACATGATGACTACTACAAGGCTTAAATATAACACTGTCAAACCAGAAATTATGGAGGCAATTAAGGATTTAATTATAACAACAATTTTATTTTGTAATTTAACTGCTGTGGCTATTTGTTTTTTTTACAACATAGGATAGATAACTAATGTTAGCTGCAACTGACTGAAACAACACAATGGGTGCATTTGGAAACTAAAGGCCCCAAAAACCTGTTTTTAAATTAGTGCCTCCCTACGATGTGTTGTTATATGCACATTTCAAACGATAGATTTAAGTCGGTGCTGCTCTCACTTGTTTGAAAAGTGCTCATTTCTAAAGGAGTTCTTGCAGATTTCTATGCACCAATTAGGAAATATCTCGATTACATTGTGATGACAGGCGTGGGGTTGTATCTCAAACTACACCCGCACAGACCTGATGAAGCAGATAAACTGAATTCCGAGGTCAAATTGTTAATAAATAATACTCAACAACAGGGATCAGCATTAACTGTTACGCAGCGTGTGATAGCAAGGAAACCTGCCCTTCATAATTATGTTACCTCATTAATGAGGATTGTTAAAACTGATCACGTACAATAAAAATAGAAGTGATGACATCAAAGTGTTATGTGACACTTGAATGCTCTCCCCTGTTTACTACGAGATCGACTGATGGAGCTTGAACATTTTGCCCGTGAATCAGCAAAGGATTATTCAGGCATTTTCAGTGAAAACTGGGCACATTTGAGTAGGATTGCAGTATTTATTACAACTTCGCTGACATCTGCTCCCTTACCCTTGAAACACAGCTCTGCTAATGCACCAGAGCTGCTCAGTTCTGCAAATGAGCTCATCGGTCCCTGTCTGTGAACAGTAGCTTTTAGTGTTGATTACTTGTGATGTGTAACCAACCAGACAGTGCTGTGGGCGGGGCATTGCTAGAGACCACAGCAGGACTAGTGAAAAAGATGGCCGGCTGCATCAGGGCCAAAGTAGTGCACTTCATTTATCTTATTGGTAATTGGTAAATAAAAAAACCAAAACTGATAATTGGGAAAATGCTGAATATGATCTTTGCTGATTTTTTTTTTCACCACAGAATGAAAAGAGAAATACTCAAAATAGAAAACCAACATTTCCAGACATTTAATAGGCCTCACAACAAGCACTTCTCTGAACCACATACGTTGATTTGATGGTGATGCAGCGCTCCTGCTCGTCTTTGCGGGTGTCTGTGAAGCGGGTTTCTCCTGCACGGGAGGATGCAATGATCCCCGCCTTGGACACCAGCGAATCAGTCAGCGTGGACTTCCCATGATCCACGTGTGCTATCACAGACATGTTTCTTATGTTGGACTTTTTGTCCATGATGGCACGGATCTGATCCACAGTGAAGTTCACCTGTCGGGAGGGTTGAGGAGGAGGGGGGTTTAAGGCAGGTTCACGTTCATCCATTTACAGCCAGCACACATTCATTTTATTCATCATATGCATCTATTTCTGTCCACTACCAGACCTCCACAGCCTTTCCAAGTAGAGTTATAAAAAGAAAGACATGTTTGAAACTGAATCTAGCAGGAGGGAGACTGGGCTCCGCATGAAGACTTTACCTTCTGGATTCTAACCAGCTCAGGAATTACTGAGTCACCATTTCAGTTTGCTGCAGCTGAGTGGGGACAAGCCACAATGTGTCGCAATCCCAGGAAAACCCAATCTCTTTATTTCAGACCTTTAACTACTCCTAATATGTTCGTTTAAAGGGGAGATGTACATTAAATAAGCAAATATGAAAAGATTAACAGACCACCTTGACTTCTACAATCTGCCCTTAAGATAACAGATACGTAGTCTGACCACTTAGTTTATTATTTAGGACATAATATATGAGGAAGGGCGGTTCAGTAAGAGCACAGTGGGAGCATTTGGAGGGGTGTTTCTGTCTTAGTGTGACAGGAAAATAGACAACCATCACTGGAGGCCTCTGTGGGCTTCACTAGGCCTGATATGAAAGTGCATAGATGTACTCTAAAATAACAATGAGCGCAAAAAATGATTACTAAGCACAATTCTAGTATCTTGAATGTATCCAGCTTACATAATAATAATTAATATATATATATTAAATAGTCGAAATCCAGAGATTCACTGAAGCAACCAAAGCTTATATGGTGATAGCAGTCAGTCATCCACCGGCACCGTCATGAAACGCAGCGCAGAGCTCCGTCGGTTACGTCTTGCTACAGGCCTGTGTGTAATTATATATTTCTTTAGTAGAGTGGCGCACTCTCCTCTAGTCGTGTCTCAACCGATAATTGAGTACAAGCAGGATTCACCACGTTAATATTAGACATGTCATGGACGTTCCCTTTCTCTTTATAATATGGGTACGATGCGTACTTTCTGCGTACGTGTGCGCAGACCAAATGCGGACTTCGAAAGCGGACTGCGGTCCTGTTCATACAGACGGTCGCTTTGCCCCTCATATCGAAAACAGAAAGAACAGAAACACACTGCAGTTTTACAATATATAGCAGCTATTATATTGAGTTGTATCGCGTCATGTCCCTGAGGCGTGTCGCGCACAGTCATTCAACATATCACATGGATGTCTGGGAATTGTACAACAACAAATTGTACAAGTGCGTCTAAGCTCCGTCGATGGAAATAATGTAAAGCTGCTCCAAACTCTAGACTCTCAACTCCCTTTTTTAAAAAATGAATCTCCTCTTAGATTCTGTCCGTTTGTTTTGGGCACCTGGCACCTGCGCAGTCGCCGCGCTTGCAGTGCGGAGAATCCGCGCGGCCGCAAATTCTAGGCTGCACGAGTCCACCGTCAAAACCCGCATCGGTCTGCGCGCACGGACGAGGAAAGCATGTATTGGCCCGAATATTTCTGCAGTCCTTATTTTATTTTAAATTATTTGCAATGAGCGTCACATAGAGGCACAGAGACAGTTAAAGGCCACAGCCCCGTTATTTTTTTTTTATCAGCTGCCTGATGCTGCGCATGTTGGCACAGATTACATACAGAACCGGCGTGTGATCACATAACACCAGCAGCCGTCGGCATCCATTTCGCACACCTGACAGGCTCCAGTGCGGCTTGTTGGACCGAATCTGTACATGAAGGTTATTCGTTGGAGCGTCTGACAGCTCGCCTCTCAGCCGCAGCAAATATATTAAACCCACAATCTGCATACAGAAACGACAAATCCACTCACCATGTTGTCTGCAGGTCGTCGGTCTTTGTGTGCGACGGTTTATTGCTGTAGACTACAGACCGAATAAAAAAGATGGACGGAGCGTCACCGGCCCAGTTATGTGAAACCAACCCGGAAGTGCCTTCAAGTGCGACACCGCTGAGTGCCGCTACTCTAGTGCACTAGTCCCGCTGCAAGTGCGTACTTGTGCTGCTGCGTCACGTCACCAGTCGCAGCTGAAGAACTTGGCAATGGGCAGAGCACATACCCGGATGTAGTCTTGCCCCGCCCACTTCAGCGAGGGCGTATCGCGAGCGCACTTGAGACAGTAACATATCCCATGAAGCATTTCGCGCTAAACAGCCGCTCATTCCGAGGAGCAAACTGCAAAAAATAATTTTCAAAAAAACTACAGTTGTCGTCCCCCCTCCACGAAGTCTAGTTTTAAGATTTTTGAGGCGAGAATGTATTTTGTTTAATTTCAAAATTGTTTTTCTTGACATTTTCAGAGACGTGAGGCCCCGGTGGGACAGCCCACACGCACTCTGAGCGCTCATCGTATCCCGCCGAGAGCAGCCTTATCTCGGCCTGCCTTTAGTGAAACTTGGCTCTGACGTCTCCGTTAAATTTTTGGTGGGTGTCGTTTCGGGTCCCAACGCGCAAACTTTGGCTCGATTATTTTCCTTCCCAGGCAAATTGCTGTGATAAAAACGAAGTTAGTGCTCCATAACTTTATGTTGTTTATTGTTGTACTCGGTCACTATATCTGACTGACATATTTGCTTGTTCTTTTTCCCTAGCGTACAACACTGTTAGATTTGTTTTCATGGGTATCATATTGCATTAACAGTCACATTTAAACAATATTTTAATGAAAGGGACAGCTGATGAAACCCGGGCTTCCATCCGAGACACGCTACGTGCCAATAAAATATCTTATTACAGATTTTTAAATACCGACTATCATTGTATATGTCATGTATATATTTATTGTGTATTTATGTGTTTTTACTCTTATATTCAACTGTGTTCTGAGATGATCTGTCTCTTATGAATTGTTGAAGCGAGCATGAAATCTCTATTTAACATCTCATTTGTTTGACGTCCCTCTGCCTCTGCATGGGAGTATTCCTGTTTTTATTTATTTATTGCTTGACGAGCAGTGTAAGAGCACATCTGTCAGAAAAACTCTTATCTTATCGTTGTATTATAGACACGAAATATTATGTGCTTGTTGAAGTCATACGTTACTCAGATGAGATACTTTTATTAATGTGATGTCTGTGCACCTGAAAATATTTCCATTTAAGATGATGGCGATGACGACGACGACGATGAATATTATTATTAGAATAGATAGATTACATTAGGCAGAACTTTACTGATCCCCTTGATATTATGATCATCATTAAGAATTTTTAGAAGTTAGAAGAACAGCCCTGCATTAACTGTTGACCTCAGCGAGGTGTTTTGTTTTTTATTTTTTTTTATTTTTAAGTAATCTGTTTCTGATAAGTGTTTGCCTATTCACTGATATAACTGAGGCTGGACTAAATATTATAAACACACATCCATCCGTCCATCTATTTATCTATCTATCTAGTAAAGTTCGACTGCGTTATAAACTACAGCTGACAAAAAAATAAATTAATAAATCAGCACCTCCAAAACATTCATATATATATATGAATTCTTTTCAAAATGAGAACGAAAAAAGAGGTAGGGCTGTTATTTATGTCACGTTTCGTTGTCTTGTAAATGCTCTTTAAAATTCACATACCATAAGCAGATGAGCTCAGATTATGATGTCATCACGTAGCAGCGGGAATTGTACTTCCGGTTCGTACTTGCCAAGTCCGTACTACCAAGTACGCACGTCTAGAACCTGTCCACAGGGGCTGACAGACAGTGACAGGAGAGAGCTGCTGCTGCCCTCCCCTCTCCAAACTGTTATATAAAACATGCGAACACCACTGTTGTTTCTTTACTTCACAGCCATAATCTGCATTCACAAGTGTTTTGACACAGAGGAAATCATGGCTAGGAGGTGGTATCTAAATGTGAAATGTAAACAAGACCTTGAATTCGCCATAACTTCTTTTGACCAACTAGCTATTCCACATGGTGATGTGACCCTTAAAAGTTTACCCAAAATATCCTTTGTAAAGCTTTTTCCCATGGTATTGATGGTACAAGTTGGTTCTAATGAAATGTCTGTGGAGCAAAAAGTAGATTGTTGCTTTAGATCAGGACACCTGGAGTGGATGTGAGATGACTTCGGTTGCATTTAAATAAAAAACAACAACAACAAAAAAAACCCCCAACATACTTCAGATGTGTTATCAGGGCTCAGAAATGCTGGAAGAAATATTATGAATGAAAAAGGTCAAACTACTGCAAGGGCCTGTACCTTGGAAAATATTCTTAGTATTAAGGTAAAACGTTCTGCATGGCTTCATTACATATACTGACACTGTTACACCAAAACCTACCTTTTCTGAGGGGTGTCACTTGGGAGGCACTGATTGGTGTTTCATTGAATGACTCATATCTAATACAATCAACAGTTTTCACATTAACACATCAAGAAATGGAAAACTAACTTTCCCTCTAACACCTCAGACAAAAAAGGTAATTTCAAAATTTTGCAAATGGTATATCCATCCAATGAACTTCTAATACAGATTAATTGTTGACCACAACAACAGCAGTTTTTGTGATTCTGAAATTGAAACGGCTGAACGACTTTTCTTCCACTATGTACACATCACATATCATATTCTGTGAGGATCTGCCAGACTGGCTGTCAACCAAAATCTTACTACTTGCTCCTCTCATAACAGAAAATATTGTGTTTGCGTTAACAGGAAGGACATTAAGAGTGACTTGATACTGAATGACCTCATTATCCTGCCAAAATCTCCCAAAGGGAGAAACAAACTAAACATGGACCTTGTGGACAATCATCTTAGTGTTTTTAAAATGAATGAGAGGCAAACATGCAAAGGCTCTCCTGTGAGTTTATGAGGAGCTGAAAATATAGGATGACCTCTAGTGCAAACTTGTTTGAACACAGAGTTACTATTTTTAAAAATGTATTTTTCATGTATTTTGTTTTATTATTATTTCATACAATGCATTTTTATCTTATCTGAAGTGCCTTCAATATTAAAATACATTTTTAAAAATACATGTCCTCCTAATAAAAACATAAAGAAGCAATGGATATAAGGAAGCACTATAACATTTACTAATAGATGCCACAATGGCCTTCTTTCTTCAGAATACCAATCCCAGCTATATGTTCCAAATGTGCAGAAAGTTTTGAACATGAGCTATTAAAGTTCAGGGCTTTTTAGATTAATTAAAATGTGTCATGCACATTTAAATAAATACCTTCCAAAATAAAATACAAGCAAAAAAGCAAATCCAGCTTATATAAGTGCTGGATCAGCAGGGATTTTATGAAATGACACACATTGATCGACTGGAGGCAGGATTATCAGATTCCATTCTATTCTGAAGTAATCCCTGAATTTTGTGACAAAATAAGCCCCTTTCATGTCAAAGTGAAAACAGATTTTCTACAAAGTAGTGTCAATTAATTAAAAGTATAAAATGTAAAATAAGCAATTGCACAAGTATTTACACCTTTCAAGTGACTAATTCAAAACAAGTGGAACTAGTTGCTGCTAGAAGTCACACAATAAGTGAATTAGACATCATCTGAGTGCATTGAATGTGTCTCATGTGGTACTAGTACAAAGACACCTGTATCTGGAAGGTCCAATCACAGGAGAATAGTTAATCCCCAAAAACTGAGTGACTGTGCGAGAGAGAGAGACTAGTGAGGGAGGCCACCAAGACACCCATGAATCTTCTGAAGGAATTCCAAGTTTCAGCGGCTGAGATGGGAGACACTGTGCATACAACTGTTGGCTGTTTTTCACCAGTCAAAGCTTTACTGGAGAGTGACAAAGAGAAAACCATTGCTGAAGAAAAGGAAAAAGAGGTCATATTAAATCTAGAGTTCACCAGAAGGCATGTGGGAGACTCTGAAGTCAACTGGAGGAAGGTTCTTTGGTCTGATGAAAGCAGACTTTAGCAGATCAGATCAGAGATTTGGTGGACACTAAACACTGCACGTCATCACAAACACATTATGGCCTATGTGAAGCATGGTGGGGGCAGCATCATCATGCGGGGATGTTTCTCGGCAGCAGGCCCAGGATGTAAAAAGTAAAACGAACGCAGCGTATAGGGTTAAAGAGCAACCTGATGGATACAGTCTGCAAGAGAACTGTGACTTGGGAGAAGATTTGTTTTCCAGCAAGACAAAGACATCAAGCACACAGCCAAGTGGTTTAAAGAAAACAAGGTCGATGTTCTGGAGAGTCAGAGCTAAGACCTCAATCCAATTAAGATTTTTTTTGGCTGGACTTGAAACGGGCTGTTTAGTCACGATGTCCAAGCAACCTGACAGAGCTTGAACAGTTTGTAAACAAGAATGGAGTAAAATTACAATGTACACCTACTAAATACTGATTAGAAGAAGGTGAACACTAATGCAGTGACTAATTTTAGTTTAGATTTTTTTTTAAAAATTGAAATTCTTTTTGACATAAAAGAGTGTTTTTGTAAATGCTCATCAAAAAAGCCAAATTAAATTGACCATGAGTCGATGTTGAAAAACAATAAAAGGGAAAAACTCCCAAGTTGTAAAGTTTGATCGTCTATCTTCATCTATTCTATGCAGGAATAAGAGGAGGTTGTAATGATGAGGGGAAGAGACTTGTGCATGGGAAGTATAAGATCATCAAAACATTCAATGCTTGACCGATTAATTGTATTTTCATCATCACGGTATGAACATGCACAATAGACATATTAAAAAGACTGCCTGAAATGTGACAAATAATAGTTTGCTAGACATTCATGTGCAGCTTGTTCAACAAAGGCACGTTTAGCATGATTTAATACATTTATCTATTCCGTGTGCATAAGCTATTCAGTGTGCCTTTTAAAGCTGAAAGACAAAAGATCACAAGTCATATAATCATTGCACGAAGGAACAATGTTATCACACACTGAAGATCATGACGGCCTATTATTCTGAAATATAC